AAGTTTTTATCATCTGCGATAGACGCTGCTCAATGACACTCAGGTATATGGATGATGCGAGGTATATGGAGAGAGGTATATGGATGATGCGAGGTCCACGACGCTTTGAGGCACTGAGTGCTGATCCGTCAGCGGGAAGCATGAATTGCTTCATCCCATTCGAAAAAGGACGTTCAGATTGGTTTGTGATTAGATGCGACCGGGCGGAGTCAGAAAGAAAAAGATCAGAATGGCCACGTTTTTCATGCAGAAAATGTGAGAGTACCGCATTTTCAGGAATGGGAAGTGCTGAGAAGACCGCAAGATCACCCGATAAGGAAGCGGAGTTATTCAACCTTCAGAGGAGCGACCAAGCGTAGTCTCAGAGAAAAGATAAAGGTGCGTGAGTGAAAGGGATCTATCCCCAATCGTGGTAATGGCAGAAAATATACTACAGATAGATGGAACTGACGAAAGTCAATAATTTCACTGCATATAACGGCTGTGTGGGCTCAACGCTAGGAATAAGAATATGAAGAACACTGGCGCTTCTTACCGAAATTACTAATCTCTTCGAACTACTACAAAGATGACGTTCAGAACGATAACTTTTTAATGATTTTTCTGAGATGAAACTCGAACGAATTGAAACAGCAAGAGCACAAACTGGATTTCAGTGCCTTCGTTGTCTCTTGAAAAGAACTACGAAGAAATACATCAATCAAGAAAATAGTCACGAACCCGGCGAGTGTGTGTATCAATTCCCAGGAAAGGCTGTAGCTCAGTAACTGGAATCTGGGATCTGTAACCAGAACCAAACCAAACCAATATAAAGCGAAATTCATCAAAGTACTCGATGCAGCCTGAAAATAAAAAGACCCGGTGACGTCAAAGTCACGCTGTACGGTAACTTAAATGTTGGAATATCTACACGGAAGTAGTGGCTGGTGAGCAGGCGCTCAGGTGAAGCAGATGACGTGGAATCGAAAAGGAGGAGTGTTTTGAAATACGTTTTGTTGAGAACAACACCAGTATGGCCTTGAAAGGCTTGTTCTTGCAAACTGGGAACAGTATATTTGTCAACTCAATGTCGTGTGCTCTCTTCATACTTGTTTAGAGCACGGGGTTGTTGCTGTTGACTCTGCTCTGTTGTTTGTGTTGCATCTATTATTGGATAACTATATGCAGATCAGCGGGTTTTGGTCAGGTAAGCACCAGTTAGATTGGACGGAGCAAAAAAATTGAGAAGAGCATGGTGTTAAATTTTCGACTGCACCAGACTAGTTGCTTTGACACTCAACTTCTTGTTATCCTGCTGTATATAGAGCGCTAACTATAAATGTATCTGTGGTTTGTCAGTGTGCGTCTGAGAAGAAAATCATAATTCCTGTTTCCTTGGACCTCGAGTGTTCATATTTGGAAGGGGCCTGGGCGACAGGGTGAAAGCTGTGGCAGTCTCATGAATCAGAACGACCAAAAATGTTTCATAAGACTTTGGAACGGAAATCGGAAACGCGGACCACTGCATGTCAAGCAAGTCTCTCTGGAAGATCATCGGCCTGATTATTACTCGATAGTTTCGAAAAATTGAAAGTGCAGCAGTAAACAGAGAAACCTCCACTATGGCCTGCTGGTAGGCCGCGCGGTTCCATATTTTCTCTGTGTCGCCACACGGTCGTCACTAACTTGAGGAACGTAAATGACAGCTCGAATCGCTCGCATCGAAAACACATACCTGCGCAAGAAACCTCAGCTCTCTACTTTCCATCCTTTTATCTTCACGGGCTTGTAGGCCATTCATCATACGTTGTCGAGCGAGCGCTTTCTGGAGTGGATAGCTGCATTTAATATCCTACCCAACGAATCTACTTTTCTCAAGACACAATCGATAAAATTCATTTTCAGTTCGTAGTTTTTGAACCTTTTGACCACGTAGTCATTGGTATTTGTAACAGCTCAAATGTTCAGGTCGATGGCACAACCATCGGTGATACTGTGTATGACTAAGAGATTAAGAAATGATTGCTTCAATTCCGAGTAGTGCTCAAATGTCGAAGAAATTGGATGCCAGCGAACCATCAAAATAAGAAGATGAATTCATTGAGACCGGCATTGATCATTTCCATTCCGTCCTGCGCTAACCTACGATTTCCACTCAAAATCTCAGTAACGTACTGCGTTCAGCCTAAAAAATGAATTGCGGCAACGAGCCGGGAGCTGACTTGCGACAATCAGTAGCTGTGCAAATCACTCCTTTTATCCTCTCATACGAGCTTGGCACCAACTGAAAGACCCTGGATGAATGGAAGACTCGTTCAACCCGACCGCTATCAGACCGGAGCTTCATTTCCGACCATGCGTGATAGCACGTCGATCAGATTAACAGCCTGTAATCGGTCGTCGCGTTAATCGTTATTTCCCTCAATAACGTTTCTATTCGGACTTGACGCGAGCCAGTGTAATCCAGTGAGCTTTCTTCGTTAGCGGTGAACAAGGAACACGGTGTCCCTGAACTATGAGCGAGGTTCAGAAACTTCTGAGAAAGAAAATATTTATTGAGGGCGTTACGGTCAATGGTAAGACACCAGTGGTTTTGTTGGTGCTGGTGTGGAAATTAGCGAAAACGAGTTTTCAAAGAGCATTTTCTCGGGACTACTGAACATTAGTAAAATTCCGCTTCCTTGAACAGCCCACGGTCTTTCCAGCGAGACGATATTCCGGCCTGAAGCCATGCTCGTTCGAGAGTGGTGGAGACACTAGCTGCCAGAATTCATTAACAAAGAGGAATAGCCATTCGGCTCTTCAGATCTTAATCTTGATTCCTCCGTCAGTCCCTAGCTGGAGATATCCTGTCGAGTTTGCAACCTTTGGAGTCTTTGAAAGCAATCTTATCGTGAGAAATGGCTGAGAGAAAATGGGGCAGGGACATTTGCGTGCGGCATGAGAGAAGTTCGAGAACCGACATTGTGCCTCTAACAGTGTTAATAGTATATTACTGAGTTTGTTGTTGTCTTGAACTCTTCACGAGGTTTTTAAATAACCTTTATTAGGCTGACGTTTTGGCGGAATCGCCTTCTTCAGAGCCTGAAAGGATCATAACAATCTGTGATTATCCGACCAAACGTCTCCACCAACCCACTAAGTTCGAGACCCCCAGGGCACGCAGGTGGTCGAAAGGAGAACCACTCATCGTAACTTTGTGGATTCTTCGAAACCACCCAACTAATAGTGGTACCAACCGACCAGTGTCAGCGGGGGTACGTCTTCATTAAAGTCTGTGAGGGAAGGCCAATCTTATATAAGGCCGTAGCTCCCGCATGATTGCGAGGCATTCTTCCCTACGATTTATTTTGGGATCGGTGACCTGTATCCAAAATGCCTCGAGGGTTTTACGCGCGCACACTTGCAACTCCTGTGCTACGACCTCCACGATGACCTCAAAATCGCC